AACTCTTTCTTCATAAAAGGTAAGAATCTCTGGGGCAAATCAGTTGAATTTTGGCTAGTGTCTGCCACCTGATGGTTTTAGTTATTATAAGGAATTCTAACTACTCCATGATGTCAACTCAACACCATCCACAGTATCTCTCTCTCTTCCCTCTATTCTCCTTCTTAATGGTCCAGGTCAGGGAGGAAAGAAAGATCTTAAGAATCTGACGCACTTCAGAGTAACAAAAGTTTCTCAGACTTTAAGTGTGTTTGTTAAAGTCTTGACTGGTAGTTTTCTTTTCTCTAAGGAAAGGTATAAGAAAAGCTTACGAACTTCTCAAAGGTGAAAATGTAAGTTGTTGATAAGTTAGTAATGTATCAGTCTATTATTAACAATTAACTGGTCAGTCAGTCAGTCAAATAGATCATCTTCTGTCTGTCAGTGGAGCAGACAGCCAGGAGACAAGCACTGGTAGGCCATGAGTCAGTCAGTAAGTTAGGCATTAGGTTGTCAATCTAGTGGTCTGTCAATTTGTCTGAGTTAGTCAATACCCAATGAATTAATTCCCTGAAATAGTCCACTTATGTCTTGATTTAAGGCAGGGTCATTTATATGTCAATAACAAATTTTCTGGCAGAAAAAAAATAATCTACCCCTGAGGTAAGATAATTTACACTTTTTTTCATAGCCTCCACATGGGATCCCATGGGAAACTTTTAAAGGCTTGATGTCACATTACGACCCCAAAAGAAGTAAGTGCTTTAATTTACTTCAGGCTTATAAATAAAAAATGTGCTCAAAGTGTTTATTACTTTTTACGAGTTCGCAGTTAACTATAATATTTTGAATATTATTATCGATAGTCACTCAATAAGAGCCTGGACTAGTCTCAAATCTTACTCACACACACTATTGTTGTGGTTTAAATATTTTAGAGAAATATTATTAAGGTCATTAATCTAAAGATTGTTACTTTTCCAACAGCTGATGTGGAGAATTATCTTTTTTTTAAGTCATTAAATAAAAGTAACACTGGACAATTAAGGTAATGTCCTCTTTCAAAAATGAATTATTTTTAGGTTTTTCTAAAGATTTGAATTGGTAATTTGTTTTTCGGCTTCATTGTAGTTTAAAATTTATTTAGTTTCTACATCTGGTACCATTGTAGTTTGACTGTGACTCAATATTTATACTTACTGGTAGTTATCAACTTTTATTTTAGCCTGGATGAATTTTACAATGTTTTTGAAAACAATGGGATGAGGTGGAAGCGGGTATGTGTCTATTATTTTATCGAAAGAAATTGAAGAACATTTTGAAAAACACAATTTCAAAACCTGCTAAAACTGCTGTAAAAATCGTGTTATGATTTATCTCACATGGTTACTGTTGTTGTTTTCTTAAAGGTAACAGAACATCACGATCAGTGGTTTAGCTGTTTTAGGTCATGCAACTGTTTGTACCGCACACTCAGAGGTAAGATTTAATATCCATGTTCAGTGTATTTGAATCGTCTTTTTTAGGGCGGTGTTCGAATTGAGTGTCGTAAAACCAAAACCAGAGTAGCGACAACCACCAATCAGAAGACAGTAAATACTTTAAGAGCCAATGAGAACTCCAAGTGAAATGAAGCAAACTGCCTAAAGCGCGGGAAAACGCGGGTGACCATGTCGCGATTGGTTTTAGTTTTGAATCTGATTGGTTGAGGAAGTAGTGGAAGTCTTCTGGACCAATCACTGAACGAAAGAAATCAAAACCAAAGCAATTCCGAATTACTTTCGACACTCAATTCAAAGTTGCTAAATAAGTGGGAATTAATTGTCCAGCCAAGACAGGGAGGACAACGACAGTGTAAACACTTATTTTTACCTCTGATTCCTTTGGCCTTGGATATCTTAGAAATTATATCTTTCTTTTGTAAAATAGAGAATTGTGAGCAGTTGGCAGGAAGTTATTCATGTAAACTTTTCTGACGTGGAATTCTCTTAAATCTCCTCATCCACCTCTAGTGGCCTTTTTGACAGTCTTTTCAAAAAATTGTTCTTGAAATTTCTGTATATCTCCCTGGATTTTTTAAGGGGTGTTTTGTTTGTAACTCTGTGTGAGCTTGTTAAGAAATATCCTTGAAGATTTTAAACCTACAAACCCATTCGTAAATAACTAAAACCATTGAAAATAGTTCAAAGTCTTAGAAAAGTCTCAAGAATTCTTGGAAAGTGTACGATTTGTTATCATCAGTCCAGAAACAACCAAGTCACGAAATTCATGCGATCAGCATGAAAAGCTTCCTCCGCTTGATTGCTATAGTTTCCAAAACCCCAAGTTGATGACAAATGGCAATTAATGATTATTGTCTTACCGAAACTTAGATGTCTAAATTCGTCCTGATACAAAAGTCTAATTTTTTTTTCACAGGTATTCGCTGGCTCATATCACAGAAACCTTTTGAGTTCGTCATCTGTAAGTCTCTTTGAATCTTTGCTGCTAAATTGTAGAATTGCATTTCACTTGAATTTAGCAAATTCACTCACACTTTGGAATATTGTCTTGTAATTTCCAGACATTTCAAGAGCTGAAACGTAAAGAAATTATATCAAACGTTTTTAGAGGCCTTGCCGTAATAGCTAAGCTTCATTAATTAGACCTACGAACAAACATTTATTGGCCTTGAACTCCGCTTTCAGGTAATGCTTGGCTGGTCTTCATAATACATTCAGATCATTAACTTCTGCTTTGAATAATCGTCTTTGAAATTTTCTTCTTTAACAGACGCAATTATTATTATAAATGGGATTTCAGTTGTTGTGGATATCATTGTGTTTTCCAGTAAGTTATTTTCTCCTCTTTGATTTTAAGCTTATCCAATTATGTCGTTGAAAAATCTGTTTAGAATTGAAGTGTCTCATTACACCACGCAACGAGGCGGCGGCTTATCAAAACTGGAGGCAATTTCTCTTGACCGGTCTTGTGACTAGTACCAAAAGCGGGAAAAACGCCCGTGAAAAAGCCGCGGCGCGTGTTGGGTTGGCCTCTGATTGGCTAAAATAGTGGAGTGAGTTTTGTGAGTCAATTAGAAAACGCGGGGCACTTACCCAAATAAAGAAATTCTGTGCATCCGTGCATAGATGATATTTGTTCTGACCGAAAAATATGTTGAGAGTTCCATGCAAAAGATTTTATTTACTCTTTATTTGCAGACGCTCCTCAAAATGAAAGGGAAAAGAAGATAAGAGAGCTCCATTGGTACCATATAGTCTTCATTTGTGGTGAGTTGATTCATCGATGTGACATGTATTTTTTCCTAAATTTTTTTCTGATACGATGCATAGCTCGATTTACCTTTGTAAAAGTTTGTAAGTTGGTTCCGTATTGGATTTAAATTACTTGGGCTATTTTTAAAGACTCTTTCAGATATATGCAATGTAACTTTAATGTTTCCAGTTTATGCAACAGAAGCCTTGCTCAAACTCCTTGGTCTTGGTTTAAGGAAATATTTCCGGTCTGGCTGGAATATGTGAGTATTTAAGAACGGAGTTTAAGTTGTGCTTTCTTGTGTTGCAGTTAAGGCTATCGTTTCT